CTACCACTACTACTAACTACTACTACTACTTTTACTACTACTACTACTACTACTATTACTACTACTACTACTACTACACTACTACTACTACTACTACTACTACTACTACTACTACTACTATTTACTACTACTACTACTACTACTACTACTACTACTACTAATACAATATATTGACAGCATAGTGCATTAATTATATATATTTTTTTCACTCACTAAAAGGCCAATTCTGCAACTTTTGGTAAAATCAAATCATCACAAGTCCCTTTTCAAAACATGTGTGATTGGCATGTAAACAATGTGCGTTTGTATGTTTGTGATCATGTGACCTGTGTGTATTTGTTGCGCCTCAGAACCCAGACGCACACCCCCGCCCCGGCTCTCAGGACCTGGCAGGGTTCTGGGACATGCTGCAGCTCTCCATCGAGAACATCAGCCTGAAGTTTGACGAGCTGCACCAACTCAGAGCCAACAGCTGGAGACCTCTGAGCCCTCCAGACATTCAGGTGCCCACTCACACACGCACGTTGAAAAACATAACCTCATTGTTGTAACAGTAAAAACATTGTTTGCTTCTTGATAAAAGCTACGGGTGAAATGTTTGTAATTTATTTTGAAGTGCAAGTATGTGTCATGCTCTCTCTCCTTCCTGTTATGATTTTAAATGAATATCGAGTGCAATCTCCCCGTCTTCCACCGTTCTTGTTGGAAACTGTTATATTAATATAAAGCAGGGGTGTCCAAACTACGGCCCGGGGGCCAAATGCGGCCCGCGGGTCATTTTGAAAAAAGTAGAATGGAGTACGGCCCACACATGAAACTTGTCTTGTATTGTACTTCTTGAATATAGATGAAAACACATATTACACAGTAGTATTCATGAGAAGACCACAAATAAATTCAGTCAATTAGAGTTGGAAACATTTTCTAACATATCTTAGTTGATAAGAAAAAAGCCCAATGACTTATTTACACAACAAGCTTGAAATACACCCTTCCTATTTCTCCTTATGATAATCAATCTTCTGTTTTAAGGGATGAGCTGCCAACACTCACAAGCATACTTTACCTCCATTTGATTGATTTAGCTAACTTAACTTATGAGGCAATATACCTCTAGTGAGCGACCTAGTCCTTCGTACATTTTTCTGTATGTGGCCCTCGGTGAAAAAAGTTTGCACACCCCTGATATAAAGTAAACGCGTTCAGTTTGGACAAGACTCGAAGCTTCTATTACACAACAGTAATCTCATTTTGGGATGCTTTACTAACCCCGCATGTAATCTGCTGTCGTTACTGTACACTGTAAAAGATTCTCAGCTAGCATGCAGATGTTGTGTCGTTGCCTGCCTGACGTCACTGTGTCTGTGTTTGTTGTCGACAGTGAGCTGCTTTTGAGAACCTCTCATCCTGCCATGCACCGTTGGGGCCTCTCCGTCTCCAATGGTCACTTTTACCTCACGCTTTGGCCACCGCCGTGCTCTCTTACCCACACAAATGGCTGCCACTGTGAACGTTAACCTCATTCAAATGCATGCTGCCGGCTGCTTCTATCTCTCTCTCTCTCTCTCTCTCTCTCTCTCTCTCTCTCTCTCTCTCTCTCTCTCTCTCTCTCTCTCTCTCTCTCTCTCTCTCTCTCTCACCCAAAGCACTGTGTTTACCAGAGGTGTAAAGTAACTAAGTACATTTACTCAAGAGATACTGCACTTGAGTTTACATTTTTTTCTACTTTGTACTTCTACTCCTCTACAATTCAGAGGTTAATGGTGTACTTATACTCCACTACATGTATTTAACACCTTTAGTTACTTCACAGATCTGGATGAATGATGTGAAATATAATCAAGTGTTGAATCAGACTTTAGTTCCACCTGGAGTAAATCCACCAGCTACCCTGCAGTATACAAAGTCATTCAAACTAGCTGCACCTTTACTAGCTTTGAGAACACTTTCATGATCAATCATTATAAAACATATCATATATATTATTCTGAAATGGACCAATCTGCACAACGACTACTTTTACTGTCGCTACTTTCACTATATTTTGATGAGAATACTTTTCTCTGGTACTTTTTACTCTGGTACTTCTACTTTTACTAAAGTACAAGATCTGAGTACTTCTACTTTAACTCAAGCACAAGATCTGAGTACTTCCACCCCCTGTGGTCATTAAGAGTTTGTCCTCCCATGTCCAGGAGAGAAGGATCCCCCCTCCCGTGCCAAAGAAGCCCCAGAAGGGCCACCCCCCCCTGGCTAGAGACCGCTCTCTGGAGAGCTCTGAGCGCCAGCGTGTGGAGGCCAGAAAGCGCCTGCTAGCTGCCAAACGAGCGGCGTCCGTGCGGCAGAGCTCGGCCACGGAGAGCGCCGACAGCATCGAGATCTATATCCCAGAGGCTCAGACCAGACTATGAGACACTCAGATGCATGTCCTCACACACATACCCTACACACTGTCCCTATAGCACCTAACGGTAAGGCTCGGGTGCTAACATAACTACGTTTTGTGCGGACTTCCCAAAATCACTGTGGGCTTAGTCTGGATAAAGAAATGTATATTTACAGTATTTAATTAATTAATTTATCTATCTCCCCTCCCCTCCTCTCATTTCCTCCTCCCAGCTTTGATGTAGCAGTCCCTCCTCTTCCTCTCCCTCCTCCTCTTTCCCTCGCTGTCAAAATCTTATAAATCCCTTTTTTGAAGTGGCCTAACACTACAGAGAAAACCAGGTGTAGCACAGCTTCATGTTGTTGTTTCAGGTGGGCAGCGTGCATGTGGAGTGTGTGTGTGTGTGTGTGTAAACATGCCATCACACACACAAACACAACGAGTGATCAAATCAAACGGAGAAACACCTATTGACTTATTTATTGTTTATATCTGTTTCTGAATAAATACGATTACATTACAAAATCATGGTGAAAGACCAGCGTGTGAAACAGACTTCAGCCAATCAGGACGAGTTATGAACTACGGAAGAGAATTAGGGCAAAAAAGAAAAGTCAGAATTCTGAAAACTAATTTGAACATCTTTCTGTTTTTGGAAAATCTCAGTATTCTGACTTTTTCCCCCAGAATTCCGACTTTAATCTCAGAATTCCATTTATTTTTCTCAAAATTCCAACTTTTTCGCAGAATTCCAACTATTTTCGGTACAAGGTAAATTGAGTTTTCCATATTTATAGGTAAAAAACTAAACTTACCTCCTAACCCACTGCTCTGGCTTCGTAGCACACCCCCCTCAGTAAAGGTACCTTCAGTGTTAGTGAGCGAAACAATCGGCCCTCTGTCTTGAAACAGGTTTTTCCAGCAGCCAGAGGTCATAAGGTCAACAGGTCATCCTGCGCTCCTCAAGGTGAGCCGGAGCTGTTTTTGAGTCAGGAGCTGATTTTAAGCTTCTGCAGAGAGTGCCACGAACATAATCTGTGTGTGTGTGTGTGTGTGTGTGTGTGTGTGTGTGTGTGCGCGTGAGATTCATTTGGAAAGAGCTTCCTCTTCTCTAGGTCAGAAGATTAAGGTAGCAGAATCAACTAACTGGAAACACCGCCCATCATTCACATTGAGCAACAACATATACAATATAACACACGCATGATGACACTTATATTGTTTTATAGACATGTGTAATCCTTCTCTCATATTGCATTTAAATTATTCTGACTACTGCTTCAATACTGGCGGGTTTTTGGACAGTTTTGAGACTAAAGGACAGTTTCCTCCTCACTGTGTTCGCCTCCAAACCAAGCAATTATCAAACAAAATATATCCGATTTGTAATATTTTGTATTTGTGTTTTAATTTATTCTTTCGGGAAAACAATGACTGTTTAAAGACATTGTGGTTATTATGATAATGCACTGACGACAAGGCCCTCATACTGTGTTTTTATTTACTCTGCAGCATGTCTTTTCTGTTCCAGTGATCAGCCTTAATTTCTAATATGATAGTCGAGCACAACAGCAGTCTCAGGGGAAGATGTGTGTGTGTGTGTGTGTGTGTGTGTGTGTGTGTGTGTGTGTGTGTGTGTGTGTGTGTGTGTGTGTGTGTGTGTGTGTGTGTGTGTGTGTGTGTGTGTGAGTGAGACCCATGGCTTACTTTATATAACCCCTGTCACCAGAATAGGCCATGATCTTTAAAGAAAAGCACCCATGCCATCTTTTTAATGAACATCTCAGAGCGGTGCAGTGATGACAGATTTCTGAAGCTAGCATCACAACGGGATTTTACCATTGGATTTCAGTATATCGCAGGAATTAGCCACACGTTTACGATACTTTCACGTTTTGTTCAGCAGGATAATCTCCACATATTAACACGTTGTGATATTTAAAGTGTTAATTGCTATCGCCAGAAGTATAAAGCTAACGCTAGGCTATAAACAAACTACATCACGGTCGCACGGCTGCACACACCGCTAAGCTAAAGGCGGCTAATGTTTGTTAGCAACCGCCATTCTTAGATTTGGGGTATTTACTGACGTAGGAGAACAAAACGTGAAAGTATATAAAACGTGTGGTCTGAAACTGCAGTTTGGATGTTTATGGCACCTGTGGGCCACCGTACAAACTTCAAAACAAGCGAAGTGATAAAATGCTAAGTAATTCCTGGGTTTTCGGACTCATTCCTGCACCACTCCATCACTACTTCAATGTAACAAGGTATTTCTGTCAGCTGCTTGAATGTGGAGACAATCCTGAGCCAGTTTACCCCCACATTATTGTTTTTAAAAACAGAAATGCAGGACGTTGGTGTGAAGTCCAATCCTCTGTTTTGATCTGGGAAGAGTTTTGTGCCATTTGGATAATTCTAGGTACGGATATATATTCCTGTCCTTATTTAACGACTTCCTGATTGAGTGGCGTCTGTGAAGGAACTCAAGTGATGAAGTGTGGTATAATTTGTATTTCCTTTAGTTAAGTATAGAGAGGATGCATAATGAATAGATCAAACCTAATGCCATTTTATGTAGACGAAGCTCATTTGAGTATTTTTTACTTGTATTTGAATATGTCTGTCAAAAGGATTGACTTCTTATTTATGTTTATTATATTAACATATCAATATAACGCTCCTGGTATAGCAGGGAGGTAGAATGTTGGACACTCCAGCACTCCTGAAGCTTGTGATGTAGTTAAAGATTAAACGTTTGTACATAAATGAATGTTTCCCTATGTAAACTAAAATTTAAAAAAAATTAATATTAAGCAGATATACATTTTGTATTTACACTGTTGATGTTATGGCACGTGTATGAGCTCTTATCAGCATTAAAACAAATATATCATTGCCAGAACTTTGTCTTTCTTTCTCTGGATGTTTCTCAATGTCGAGGACGCTTCCTTGGTAAGACATGTCCCTCCAAGTCAGGTCCTTCAGAGTCAGGCAAGAATCCTTCCTTTCACTCGGAGAACGAAGAATGGAAGAGGTTAGCAAGTGTGCAGGTGTGCGTCATATGAGAGGCCCCGTCTTAAATCTTCCGCCAAAGATTTGGGAAATTGGTCCGTGCGCAAAGCATTGTGGGGATTTTAAGACCGCAAAGGATACACTGGTGCATCCTCGAAATTTCCCGCAACGAAGGATTCAGTCCTCGGTAGAATTCCAAGCATCTGGACATTGGAACAGTCCTTCGGCGGGATTCGATGACGTAGCATCCTTGAAATAGTGGCTCTGGAGTATCCTTCCTTGACATTGAGAAACACCCTCTGTCTCCCCTGTTGTGCCCCTGTGTCGACCTTTAACCTCAGAATTTGGGCTTTTTAAACTAATGGTCAAAATGTTTACATGTGGCCATAATGCTCTTCCATAATAAACAAGTGCTCTAATGCCATGCATGCAGAATGTATGCCAGTTTACAAAAGTCTTCCCTAAGCTGAGTATCTGTACCACTCATAGATTGAATATAAAATAATGCTATGTTCAAAGGAACTAGATATTAGTGTATGAGCTCCTATCACATTGGACAATATGCTGCTCCAAAAACAAGTAAACAAATAATTAAAACATGTTTTGGCTGGTAATAAGTAAAATAATCTGCCAATAGATCAAGTGAAAATGTGCTTGGTAAGATTTTGTGGGATATTTAGATAAATCAGAACTTGTAATTAGCTGGGAAATCTTATTTTGAACTATATTTTACCAGAAGAATAAGCCTTAAATGCTCATAAGTGTTCTGTTTTCTGATGTTAGCTGGTGAGTTTCCAATAGCAATGTAATAGAAAACTTGTACTCTAATTCTTTATTATTCTGCCGGGTTATTTTGCACTATTCTTCTCCCACATTGAACATCGCAGAAACTCTGTTCGAACATCAAAACGTTCAGCTCGGTCGGGAATCGATGGCTATTACTTTTCTCATTCATAACTTTCATAATTCCAGAGATACATCTCATAATTCATCACATTTTCAACCATTGAAGTCAATGGAGGAAATCTTCAGACTTCAACAATCTTGATGCAACTTCAACTGCTAACTGTTCATTCATGCTTTCACTCAGAAACCTCATTCCAACTTTAAAATGTTACACATCTTTCTGACATTATTCGTGTAGAACAACTATTAAATTTGATTCTTACTTTTAGAGATATTAAACATTGTTCAGACCTTGGTACAGAGGCCTTCTTCAGATTTTAGAGTGCGTGATGTCACAGCGAGTGGAGGACAGATTTAATTTTGTCTTCATATTTTATTTTTAAACTGCCATAATTCCCAAACCCTACAAACGTAGGAAAACATCTCGTTGCTTGAAAGATAAAAAATAATTAAACAAAATGCCTCTTGAGGGCATGAAGTGACAAAAACTTTCAACATGTCTCCATTAAAGCCCATTGTAAGTTCAGCCTCACCTTTCCCCACCACAGCAGCCGCACACCGTTAGTTAATCTGCCAAAATGGCCACATTATTGACCCGAAAGTACACAGAAAGTACACTTCAGATGCTCAAGTTCCTTGACATGCTTCACACTTTGAAATTTCACAGATATCTGTTACAGTTCTTCCACAAAACGTTCACATGTAAGAGGTTTATCTCTCATTCAGAACAATGAAAATGCTCTCCTCTCACTGATCACCATGGAAACCTTTGATCTCTGGACACCTCGTTAGCTCAAATATAAACACCTGTGTCATGGAACACGATGATGTCATAACTCCAACTGACATGCTCAGAGCAGCAGACTTCAGATAATGGTTAATGGTCCTGCTCTACGTCAATTATGGGGTGTCATCATATGCCGTTTCCATGGAAACGCATCCCTCGCCATAAAAGACGATGTCGCTATACATTAACTCCAATGAAAATGTTCAAAAAGTGCTCAAACTTCACATGTGTGCTAATAGTCCAGCTGTGAAGACATCTACGGGACAGTTTTGAGATTTCTTCAAATGCCGTTGCCATGGCAACAACAATACTCGCCATGAAACACGGTTTTCTCATAACTTCAGTGAAAATGCTCCAAACGGCCCAAAACTTCACAGGTTTGGTAACGATGCAGCCATCAACACATCTAAGCGTATTATGGGATGTCATCAAATGCCGTTGGCATGGTGACAGATAATTCGCCATCAAGTTAGTTCAAAAGTTTGCAGTTCAAATATTCTGCTGCTTTTCCAAGCCTTTTTACTTTCTTTTCTTCTCTCATCACACATTCAAGCCCCCAGTGTTCATGTATCATTTCAATCTAAATTCTTCACTTTCTTCTTACACGTTACATTTCAGCAGTTTAGCGTCAGCTTTTCAGCATAAAGCATTCCCACGAGCAATTTTTTCAGGAATTGCATTCTTTCATCTGAGATCCAACTCAAAATAAGACGCTTTCAAGAGTTTTTACTTAACAACACAAGATGGATCGTCTAAAAACAAGACCCTACATCTCACTGCATTCTTAAGTTATTATGTCTTATATCAAGTGTAAAGACTAGATATTAGGCAAACAAACTTGGCACGATTTAAACGTTTTTGTAGTGAAACAAACATATCTTTGCCAGAACGTTGTCTTTCTTCCCTTGTCTCCACATGTGTTTCCAATTGGAATATAATCAAGCAGATTACAAGGCCAGCCTGGTGTGTTTTCAGGGCTTTTCCCTCTTCCGCAGGGGCGGGACCCCGTAATTATGCATCTCTTCTGGCCTTGGTTTAGCCCGACGCTGTACGTGCAGCTCCTTGTGATTCGCCGCTCACACATCAGTCGGGGAGGATGACCTCAGCGACCAGAGTTCAGGAGGAGGAGGGGGGGGTCTGCGGAAATGTGTCTTTGTATAAAATCTGACTCAGGGCCACCGTGGTGGGCTTCAAATGCCCACTGAGTGCCTGGAGCTCTGTTCAAACCCTGATTAGAGTCCCAGAGACTTGACCTAACCTCTAACGGCCGACAAAAGGTGGAGGAGTGGAGAAGCATGTGTTGACATCTGAGTAAAACTAAGTATTTAGGCCGTGTTGGAAGAAGTACTCCCTTTACTTAAGTTAAAGTACAAATACTAAGTCCTGATCACTCCCTAATGTTCGTATTGTTCGTACTTGTTACTGTTTTTATGGCATTTCAGACAAACTTAAGATGTATGTCTTGAAAAAACACTGTTATTGTTTGCTGCCAAATGTCAATACAAAATATATTACACACAAAAAAATAATAAATTACAAATACTATGGTCTTAAAGTACGTAGAGTACAAGTAAAAGTCCTGTTTTCAACATTGTAATTATGTAAAGTACTCATTCTGCAAATTGGCCCATTGCAGAATTATATAAAGTACTATCAGCTAAATGTAGTAAAAAAGTACTAGTATTATGCAGAATGGATCTTTCCACAGTATTATTTTATCACGTTGTTATACATTTAAGAGCATTTTAGTGTCGTTTGTCGATGTGTAATTGTAGGACATTTAATACTTGTAATATATTATTCACTACAAGTTAAAGTCCTGATTTTAAAAAGTACTCAGGATAATATGAAGTAGAGAAGAATTATCAGCAAATGTACTTAAAGTAGTACAAAAAAGTACTCGTTATGCAGAATGGATCTTTCCAAAAATCTATTCTGAAATGTGCAGAATGAGTACTTTTTGTACCTTTAAGTATATTTGGATGCTAATACTTTTGTACTTAAGTTACATTTTTAAATCAGGGCTTGTAATGGAGTATTTTAAGACCATAGTATTTGCACTTTAACTTCAGTAAAGGATCTTCCACCACTGAGGCACATGTATAAAGTGAAAGGTTGTGTGTGTAAACAACAGACCCCATTGAGCCATGGAGCCTCAGCAGAGGAACAGCTGTCCTGCTGGCCTTCAGAGAGCAGCGCTGCGTTGTAAACTGACTTACATCGACTCCATTGAGATGCAGGAGCACATAAAGCCCCGCTGGCAGGAACTGTTGACGTCTGCCGTTTACTGGTGCTAATTTATGCAGGATTATGCTAATTGGCGGGAGCTGTTGTGGAGCCTCTCACACACAGAGGAATGTCTCTGTAACGGTAGTGTGTGGAAAAGCATGTCAACTAAACTGATTCTGACTGTTTATTAACCGACTCGACACACCTTATCCCTAAGTGATGTAAGCTTAAGGAGGCCCTATTTCCTTCTCCTGTAGTGTGTTTTGTCAATGGTCTGTAAAGGCTAAAATCCCAAAGTTCTTGAACATAGTGACATCCCATCCTATTGGCTAGTGCTCAAAAACATTGTGAGTGATAGGCTAAGGGGCGGGACATGTTTAGGCGGTTTATCAATCACACAACAGGTAGTATGAGATAAATGAAGAGCTTTTTGAAGCATGGAGAAATGTCACAGTAGAGCAGTGGTTCTCAAGGTCCAGGAGAAAAAATGGTAATTAAAAAAAAAGAAAGATAAATCATATTTTGAAAAAGTATTGATTCGAAAATAATATGATACAGTACTATTACGTCTGGGTCTCTGTGTTTCATTAAAGCTCGGCACTGTGTGTGTGTGTGGAACGAGCCATTTTGTGTGCGTGCGCGGGGAGTGATTTGTAAAATATCCATAAAGAAAAAGTAAATCTGTTTACAGTTCTGTTTCAAATGGGTGTTGAGAGAGGTATCCATAGATCTCTTAATTTTGCACCAGATTGATGCTTTTGACTTCAATATGTAAAAATCTTCCCGGGGGAGCTTGCCCCCGGACCCCCCTATGTGAGGTCCACACACCACCTATACAAATAGCACTTGACCCCTGCTTACACCTATATGCCGTGAGCTGATTATCGAGCCTTCATTGTAACAGTCGCGGGTACACTGTGTGTGTGCGTGGGGAGTGTTGCAGTAGAACATTCCTCTGTAGCGCCCGGTACCTTAATGGGAAACCCTAAATGTTTGAGCACCCTCTATGAAACGTCAAGCTACCCCACAGCACCCCCAAAATAAATCTCTGGCGCCGCCACTGAGCCTGACTATTTGTGTTGGGGGGGGCCCGACTTTTTTTTTTCTCCAAAGGGGGGGGGCCTGACAGGAAAGGTTTGAGAACCACTGCAGTAGAGACACTACATACTGATATGAACATACAAATGTCCTCTTTAAAGTATCTTCTAGATTCCCACCTTTACAAATTAGCATATGTAAATACCACACGGTGGATTCTGAGATGTAGAAAAACAAAACTTTATTTGAATCCCATGTGACCCCTATTTGCCACAAGCATTGCACAGTATGAAAAAAGAAATCACATCATTGGGCATCATGTCACATTAACTATACACATGGTTCTATAATACATGGAAATGCTTTTTTGGTGATTTCAGAAAATGCTGTCTTTGTCAGCAAATGCCGAAACAAAAACATCTGTAGTGTTTTAATGTTACAGTCCACTGGCCGTCGGTTCTCCGCTGAGTGATGGGATGGAGGCTCAGACTAAGAACCTGCTACATTGGTCATCTGAAATATCCCTTGATGGGAAAAGAGTATAAAAAAAACAAAACAAAAAAGCACAGGAGTTTCTTTTAAAACAGCTAAATAACAAAATAAAAACTATACTTGTACTCATGAAAACATTTACTACAGTAGTGAATATGTTTGTCATAGATGAAGTATGTTTAAGACACTGAGATGACCTTCCTCTGCCTTTAGTGTGCAAACAAACGAGGCAAACCGAGCATGAACTCATCTGTGAAATGTACAACAGTAAACGTGTGCGGACGCGACTAACTCCTTCTCCGCTCCCTAAAACGATATAATGGAAAGACGTAAGACAGGCAGCATTTCTCTGATAACATTTTTGGTCCCTGTGTGCAAATAAGATACACATGTAGTAGATAACATACGCATGTATTTGAAATGAATAAACAGCCAAGGCACCTCGATACAGTCAATAAAAAACTCGTCAATTTGATTGGTTTACCAAAAATAGAAATAATCAGGCTTTCGTATGGATTTGATCTGCAGACAAAGTCACTGAGGAGACCCGAAGTCACCGAGGAGACCCAAAGTCACCGAGGAGACCCGAAGTCACCGAGGAGACCCGAAGTCACAGAGGAGACCCGAAGTCACAGAGGAGACCCAAAGTCACAGAGGAGACCCAAAGTCACAGAGGAGACCCAAAGTCACCGAGGAGACCCAAAGTCACAGAGGAGACCAAAAGTCACAGAGGAGACCCGAAGTCACCGAGGAGACCCAAAGTCACAGAGGAGACCCGAAGTCACAGAGGAGACCCAAAGTCACAGAGGAGACCCAAAGTCACAGAGGAGACCCAAAGTCACCGAGGAGACCCAAAGTCACAGAGGAGACCCGAAGTCACAGAGGAGACCCAAAGTCACAGAGGAGACCCAAAGTCACCGAGGAGACCCAAAGTCACCGAGGAGACCCAAAGTCACAGAGGAGACCGGAAGTCACAGAGGAGACCCGAAGTCACAGAGGAGACCCGAAGTCACAGAGGAGACCCGAAGTCACCGAGGAGACCCAAAGTCACCGAGGAGACCAAAAGTCACCGAGGAGACCCAAAGTCACAGAGGAGACCCAAAGTCACCGAGGAGACCCGAAGTCACCGAGGAGACCCAAAGTCTGGACACAAAGTCACTTTCTTTCCTCTTCTTCTGCGCTTTAAGACACCAGCTGTTTGGCCTGCTGCTCCATCTCTGCAGCCCGTTTCAGGGCAACATCCACAAGGAGCTGGAAGCCACTGAAGTCCTGTGTGAGGTCCGGGGGGGTCGGGGGGGGCGTGTTGAAGAGCCCGCTGCGGGGGCTCAGGTTCCCCTCCATGCCCGTGAGCATGGTGGTAGTGGGGGGGGGTTTAGGGCTCCCTTCGTCATCCTGGCACCGGAGCAGCGCCTGAACCTGCAGCAGCTCAGAGTTCATCATCGTCACCGAGGGGAGGGGCTGCATCGCCGCGGTGACAGTGGTGTGACAGATGACAGACGGGCGAATGGGGAAAAGAGATGGAGACGGAGATGGAGACGAGGAAGTCGGAGACGAGGAAGGTGACGTCATCTTCCTCAGGACTCCTGGGACGTCGAATATGGAGGGGCTTAGCACCCGCTGGTCGTAGTTCTCCTCCTCCGGACCCCCTGCTGGGCTGCCGTGCTTCGGAGACTGCGAGCTGTCGGAGAAACTGTCCCCCCCTTTGCTGCCTTTCCGTGAGATGGTGAACTGGTTGGGGTCTTTGCCGTCTTTCCGCAGCATCTCTGGGAGGAGTCGCCGCCGAGCGTTAATGAACCAGTTGCACACCTGCAGGAGAGAAAACAAATCATGCTGTGAGAAAAGTGCACGGATCACTGCTGACACATGCAGGTGCACTTCCCCCAGGGAAAGATTCACACCTGGGTTTTCAATAGAGGAATCTACACTGCGTACACGAGAGGCATGGATCTCACACCATTAGCTTACATCATGTATATTTTCTACTTTTTTGTAATGCTATTTTATTTCTATTGAGATGTTTCCATTTCAATTTGTGCAATGCAAAAAATGTCCCAAATTGGGATCAAAAAAGTACTTCTTATCTTATGGCTAAATACTATTTAAGTTACATATCAATGTTCTTGCTGTTGTTGTTGTTGTTTAAAAGTACAATCAGGTTTGTACTAGTTTATATGTAATGTTTTGTAATATCACCCTCTCTTCCACACACAGGTGTTTATAATGAGTAATCTCCACATGTGAAAACTCCAAACCCTTACTGAGACAAAAGAATATAGAAGAAACTGAATGACTAATAAAACAAACCACTTTGTTAGCTTCATGGCTCCTACTCTAAAAAGTAACCTCCTTTGTGCCGCTGTAATCTCAGTGTCTCTCCCTGCAGGCTAGTTGTAACTGGCTCACAGAGACTCCACCATGTAAATGACTCTGCATTGTTCCCAGACAGCTGGGATGGAGGGAGGGAAATTCCTGTCCTGGAAACTGAGCCAAACCCACAGTGAGGGAACCGAACGGGAGAGACTTCACTCACGGTGTCTCACACCGTTTCAACACCAAGCTGCTTCTGGATGACCTTCAACTCTGTGTTTATGTGTCATGTTGTGTTTGTCATCTCGACAGGAAGTGATTCAGTCCCGTGTGATGTTATCAGAGTGTGTACCTGTAGTGTTGAGAGCTGAGTCTGCTTGGACAGCAGGGCTTTCTCCTGCTCCGAGGGGTAGGCGTTGTATCGGTGCTCGTACAGCCAGTCTCTGAGGATCTGCACAGACTCTTTGGGTAGATTTCCCCGCCGTTTCCTCTTCCCGTTGCTCCCCGAGCTGGACGACAGATCCAGAGGCGCGTCCACGCTGTCCTCGTCGTCCGTCTCGCTGCCCGAAAGCATCATCAAACCTGAGCGAGGAGAAAACACAGCATGAGACAAAAGGATATGTATCCTCTAAGCGCTGTGCCGCAGCCATTCGCCAAACACAGGCTGTCTGGGAGGCAGCTGATGTGTCAGAAGCAAGCTGTCAAGTTCAGCCATGTGATTCATATAAGGAGCAAGGAGGGGGAGGGGGAGGAGGAGGAGGAGGAGGAGGTTAGGAAGGAAGGGGGGGAGACGTCACAAAGGCTGGTCTGATGCTGTGTCAGTTATAGAACCTGCCTCAACAAATACAGCCGTTTGACTCAAAGCATGCTGGGATAAGTAGCCAGGCTGACCTCAAGAAACAGTCCCTGCATGGAGGAGGAGAGGTTGTGTCTGAGAGAGGCAGCACAGAGTTTCATTTGGAGTAATCAAAGTCAATCATGATCAAACAGGATGTAGGCCTTTTGGATTACATTGAATGGAAAAGAGGGAGGGGGGGATAAGCCTTCTAATTAACTGCTAACACTTTGATCAGATTGTAAGTCAGGCATTTAGGTTAGTGTTCCTCATATGGTATGAAAAGACTTTTGGATCATGTTATAAAAAGTCCAAATGGCACAACGTAAAAATAAGCACTTTTTCTGTATTATTATTATTATTATATGTTGTTTATGTCACTTTTACGCGTGTATACAGGCAGTTCACAATGAACAGCAGCGATACGCCATTGAGAGAATGCAGAAAGTAGATCCAGAGGCTATTTAATACAGTGTGCACCGAGGCAAAGTAGTGGGAAAGCAGTCAGAAAGTTCCCAAAGTGTGCGCGGCCAACAGGATGAGGTAATTACGCAGCAGGCTGGAGGAAGAGGAAGGGGGAGGGGAGACCTGTTGCAAATCAGCGTCTCCAGACTAAACAAAAGAACCAGGGCTGCGTGCTTCTTTGTATGCAATTCAAAAGTTTCTACACGCAAAACAGTGAGTTCTCCACAAAACTAACTCGCTCTGAACCGTCTTGGTTTCACACAATGGGCAGAAAGTGAGTTTTAAAGCCACCAAGACGTTGCTTTTGTGAGTTTAAACAACTTGTAAGGGGCTTTCTATTGTGTGAGCTCTGCACCACGAGGTCCCTGAATGTAACTTCCCACAATGGGGTCAGGATGAACACTAGCCTACTTTCGGATTTGGAGACATTTTTTTAAAACAGAAAAAGGTGTTTCTGCTCGGAAGACAGTTTAAAGATGCTAGCGGTCGATGTATTTGTGGAAATGTAACCCTGCAAACTCCTAAAAACTCACAACAGTCAGCAAACTTTGACTCATATCATCGCTTTGCTCCAACTTCGACACAAATGTAGCCACTTAAATCCGCATTCAAACTCAAATAAAACCACTCGTTTATTCCAGTTTTCACATTTTACGCGAGCTTTAAAGTTAGCCTAATCACAAGACGACAAGAATGACAGGGGAAACAACACGCATGGCGACACAGCCGTGTGTTATTGTGTCAAAACGTGAACAAACCCCAGGTAGAGAAGCAGAAATAATACACAAACCGAGCTTAATGCACTTTTGACAATGCGCCAGCACATGGCAGAAAAAGCCCCTGTCATGTCTGGAGAGGAAACAATAGACTGCATGGTTTGCATATGAGGAGAAACTGCTCTGTTAGCCCCCTCTCTCTGCTTATATACACTCAATTCCACTTTAGTTCACTTAAAAAGCTTCAAACGTACCTTTTTTCGTCTTCATCTCGGTCCAAAAATGCCCACTTTTTCCCGGTGACGCGCAGAGGGAAATGGTCTTTGTGTGGTGTGTCTCCTCCAGAAATCCACAGCGTGTATCCGAATAACCGAAAATCCTTATTCATGAAAAGGCGCGTGTTTCCCCTCCGGTTTTCTTTTAATAAACCTACTTTGTGCTGGCGGTTACCTGAGATCTGTGCGTCTCTCCAGCCCCTCTCATTGACTGTGTTTGATCCTGGCTGACAGCTATCTTTGACAGCTGCGTGACTCAACCAGAGATCCTCCCACCAAAACCTCTGACATCAGCATGGTGATCCACTGACATGGATACAGTCTGTTCCTGCTGCAGACCCCCCCCCCTAACAAGACACCATGTATATTAAATTATGAACCGCAGAAAGACGTTGATTTAGGCGGGCACAATGACAACAATAACAACAACAACAACAACAGGCTGCTGGAGGAGCACTGCGGACCTCGTGGTGACATATCACACAAACACGGTGTAAAACACTATCATTGCTACAGGCGATGCGTTTTTAGCAGGCTGTTTGGTGTTTTGAGTGCTAATACGATTAGCTCTTTTCTTTTTTATCTCCCTTCAGTATTTCTGCACATCATACAGAATTATCTACTGCATTTTCGTGCTTTTTGCAATATTTCCAGTGTTTATGTCATCTTAAAATCCGTTTAATCACAATATAACCGCGGATTTATATCGTGTACAATAATAATGTGATCACAACTGCACTTTCCTCTCATGTTGACACTATATTAGCGGTTATCATTGTGTTGCATCCTTTGAGGGACTGAATCACGGTTATCTTGTTGCAGATTGTGATTACTCTCCTGTTTGGTATTCAGTAGGCTAATAGCCTACCAATTAGCTCTTTTTTATTGTATTTCCCTTCAGTTTTTCTGCACATCATGCAGAATTATTACGTGCTTTATTCAGTATTCCCAGTGTTTATGTCAGGTTAAAATCCATTGTATCACCACATAATCGGGTATAACAAGGCATTATATCGTGTTTACCATCATCATTTAAATACTACTGCACTTTTCGGTCTTATGTCTTAGCGTTTATCGTTTTATTGCATTCTCATAGTGACTGAATCATGTTTCCTTGTGTTTTTGTCGTTGATTATTGTGATAATCTAACCGACTGTTGCTCCAATTTCTCGCTAAAATGAACAATAATCGCTATAAAAACAAAGTAATAAGGTTATACGGTAGTGCTATTTGGAGCCAAGCGTCCAGCTGGAGGTTAGAGCAGCGGTTCAGGTTTCTAAAGACAACAGAAGAAGGATCAATGCTCTCATTTGTATTCCCCGCACAGCCCTGCGGCAGCTGCTGCTGGAGCCTCTGCAGCTAACAGACAGGAGTCAGCTCCATATGTGGGGAAATGGCGCCCCCGTGTGGCTGTTCGTGGCACTGCACCCACTGCAATACCACTTGATAAACACAGGACGCCCTCTGGTGGTTGTTGTTGTGTAATGCAACTCAACATGACGTGTATAATGATCAATACCTACAGGCCTAAAGGTACAAATAGTTTGAAATAATATAATAAATAATATTTCGTCCAGTTCTGAAATAATAAATTGCTTAAATGTCTTCACTAAAGAGGCCCATGCTAAGTAAAGAGGGTCACTTAAAAAATGTACTGAGTTACAATTATCTAATCTGGGGATATTATTATTATGTAAGACAACAGAACAATGTTACCTTAGAAAAGAAGAAACCAATATATTTCAGATATAGGTTCACCTACTGAACAAATGAAGCAGATTCAGGCAGTAGTCGTACAGATTCACACTTAAAGTGTTACAGAACAGTACAGCTAACAGAGGAATAATAGTTCTTGTTTTTTAATTAAAGGTTTACTGGAAAGCTTCATAACTGATTGAACAGCGGTAGCTTATATTAAGCCCTCACAGTGATTGTGTTTCGACCAGCTGAAACAGTCAGTGTTATAAATAGAGACTGAGCAGGTTAGGCATGCAGCGGCCTGCTGTTGTGCCAAGCGCACATATGTTGTGCCATTTTTGGTTTAGTATACGGCCTCTGACTGTCTGAGAGGCTTAAAGACACAGCGAGAAAGAACACAGGAGAATTTGCCCTCAGAAGAATAGAGATTAACTTGAGACACTTTGCTATTTTCAGACCAAACTAAGAAGGAATGCTTGTACCAACACTTTACTGCGGGCAAAACTGTGTTTAACACTTAAATGATTATTATATTAATACGTTTTTAGTGTTATATAAGAAGGGCTAATTGTATGGATTTTAGTTGTAGTACGAGTTAATTGTGTCTAGAAATACATTATTTTTCATTATTAGTTCCCCCTCAAGTCAAAATATGAACTAATGAAACGTTTTTCTCAAAGTTAATTGAGTAATTAGGAGGTATAATGAGTTTATTTAGATAATTTAACGTCCTTTTCATACTTTCCAAACCCAATTACCTCTGCTTTTGTCCAAATGTACGTTTTAATGGCCGTTTTTATTTGCTTATAATAAATAACGTTTGTCACTTTCTTCCCCTATTTTTGTGTGTTTTTTTTGGTGCTATTTCAATGCATTTCAGTTTTTCACATCATCCTAGAAATCAGTGCACTGTGACACATCAAACCCCTCACATTAGTGGAGAGCTCAAACTCTGACGCACTGACCTCAGATTGGAGAGCTGCGTCAACGCGCATACCAACAGCATGAAGGCAACCGGAAGTTAGGCTGTTTAGATTTTCAAAATAACTTTGTGTATATAGAACTTTTCATATCCAAAGGTAACTCAAGAGTGCTTTACAAACCAAACACAGAGACAATTAAAACCAATTCGTATCTCCACCGTCACTAGAGTAATATCTTTGATTAAAAAAAAACACTTAACGCAGGACTCATTAAAACAGGATGAAAACATATCATACATTGAAAATGACGTGTGACATATTTGTATGCATTTTATTTTGACAACCAAACGGAAATAGCATGTGTTTCATGGTGTCTAATTTGACCCAGTTGATCAGACAGTGTTTTGTTACGGTTAAGTCTAAAATTAGGGAGGCGCCCCAACAGCAAATGACGCAACAGTCTAAACCTGCTCGTCTGAGAGTGAATGGTGTCGGGACTCAGGACCATGGAGACCACAACTCCGCTGTTGTTGATGTCATGGAGGGTATTTTTAGATGTTGTTGTCATGTTTCTGTAACAGCCGTTCAGTATAAAGGACTCCTTCAAGATGCAGCTGTACAACAGTGCGCTCACACACTACCCGAGGTCGTCTCACAAAGTTACCATAACTTTACTGACTGGGTCTGAGCGACTGAACTCCTCTGACGCACCAAAACCAGGATTTACGCACCAACGCGCCACTTCTCCAAACACTGATCCGGTGAGAGACTCTTCCGCAAACATGCCTGCGTTTTCCTGCTACGAAGCTTCATCAATGAGGCCGGTTTACTTCACCTCCACTGCTGAGATATCCATCCGCAGACCTGATGGATTGGAGAGGTCTGTGCCAGTCCATGTCGTGAGGGAAACCAAGACCAAGCCTCCTGTGTCTCCAAATGGTGACAGTTTCCTGTGTGGTGACTCTGATGTGATTGAGGACCTGATAGATCATCTGAGGAATGGCAGGGATGAGCTTTTCTCTGACTGCAAACAGCTGCTTCGAGATCAAACACACCACATCTGCAGAAAAGACAACAAGAGGGAGTTTGGGAATTCAAGCGAGGATGACACCTTTTCTCAATCTCCTGTCAGAAGCAATGGGTGGTCCTTACATGAGGAGGAAGTAGTTCCCCTTAGAGAAGATCGTCGTGTAGACCTCCTCCTGGATGATTTTAAGGATCTGAGCAATGGCGTGCCAGCATCTGATGAGAAACGGGGCTTTGAGCTCAGCGTCCTGCAGGACTCCCCTCCACAGAAGCACCCGGAAACAGGCAGCAAAGTGACCCGGTACCTGGCCGAAGTGGAGAAACAGAACAAGTATCTCCAAGGGGAACACAAGTACAGGTACCACATCATTCCAGATGGCAACTGCCTGTACAGGGCGGTGTGCAAAGCCACCTTCGGGGACCAGTCGAGGCACGGGGAGCTCAGGGAGCAGACGGTGCACCACATCGCCGACCACCTGGAGGAGTTCAACCCCATCATCGAGGGAGATGTCGGGGAGTTCCTCATCAACGCGGCACAGGACGGAGCGTGGGCCGGATACCCCGAACTGCTCGCCATGAGCCAGATGCTGGACGTCAACATGCACCTGACGACAGGGGGGAGTCTGGAGAGCCCCACCGTGTCCACCATGGTGCACTATCTCGGGGAGGAGGACGTGTCCAAAGTGTCCATCTGGCTGAGTTGGCTGAGTAACGGGCACTACGACGTCCTGCTGGATCAGAGTCTCCAAAACCCAGAGTACGAGGAGTGGTGCAGACTCTCTCAGATGCAGAGGAAACGAGACGAGGAGCTGGCGAAGTCCATGGCCGCCTCGCTGTCCAAAATGTACATTGAGCAAAATGGATGTGCGTGAGAGAGTTAAAGGACAGATGATCCTGCTTGGGTTCTACATGCTTGAAATTATTTTTTTATAAGGTTTATATCATAGGGGGGGAAAGGAAGTGCAGTGCACATACTTTGGTTTTGTATAATGCCGACTTATTGGCAGTGGTTTGAAAGTGTGTGATGGTTTGGGTGGACGCGTATTTATTGGCCTTTTGTTGGCAGACTGGATATTTTTCTATCATGTGTGTGCTTCATAGACAGACAGATCTAGTTTGCTTTGTGTCTCTATAGCTACTGTTTAATACTCTCTTTTGCACAAAAGTCACATCAGACAAGTCCAGAGAGTTTGATTTGTGCCTATTGTTTCTATTATTCCAGTTTCTTTTTCTAGGCTTTTGACAAAATATCACAAATAAAGTTTTGAGGAAACCTGATTGGATGTCATGTTTGATTTCAATTCTAATCTCAAACGTCGCTTTGCTGTAATGGGATCCTTATATTACATCATAGGTTTGTCTCCTGCTGTCTTTATAACATGCAGTGACTCAGGAGTCATTCAGGTCAGGCTGCAGGATCAGTGACTGGTTTCCTACACAGATCACTTCCGATGAGTCAAACCTATATCGAAAGTGCAATTTCATAGCATTATTTTTGCTCCATTTAACTTTTATGATAACCCTCTGACTTGCTTGGGGAGTCACAGAAGTAAAAAAACATCTTATACTTATTTATTCTTGTATTTGTTTGCAATGCGTTTGATATTGAGGTAATCCAAATGTCACGAGAAGTAATCAGGTTACTTTACTATAT